GCTTGTGGGGGGGGGGGGGGGGGGGGGGGGGGCACGTCCTGCTTCCAGGACTGGTTTGCTCCATGTGACTTGTGTCCTAGGGGGTGCGAGCTAGGCTGTGGTGAGGTTTTGTGTGCTTGAGGCTAGGATTTGGAGCTGAGGAGCAGGAGGCTGAAAGCAGGTCTTGGATGGGGGTATGGGCCTTGCTGGGGCTGCTCCAGGGAGAGGAACTGGAAAGGGCTCAGGTATTCATTTTATGAGGCAAAGAGTGGCTTTTTCCACAAGCAAACAAAAGCAATCGGGGTTTGATGGCTTCTGAGCAGGGCTCTTGTCCTGGCTGGCATGGATTGGAGCATTTATAGCCTCATTATGTGTGTGTGCTGGGCCAACAAACGAAGCACTGCTGATTAGCTCTGCACCCGTCCCAGCTGGCAGCCCCATGGCCCTCCTGTGAGCCCCATATCCCACCCATCAGCCCCATATCCCATCCCTGCAAACCCTCCCACCCCGCCATCCATCCCACCTACCCGGCAGGGGTACCTGGCAGGGGGTAGGAAGGTGCTGATGGTCACAAGCCACATCCAAACCAGGTCCTGTTGCTACGGAGCACGGTGACCAATGAGCCACAGCAGTGTTCTGCAACCCTGAAACTGGGAGCTGGGACTTCCCCAGTTTGTGTGCGGCTCCCTGAAAAACCACACAGAAACTGCAGGGAACTTTTGGCTGAGTTTAGGGTTTAGTAACAGGCTGGATTAGAGCAGATAACGGCATGCCCTGAGGGCGTGATTAAACCTCAGTTGGCCCAATGTAATTTTGTTAAATATTAAGGGATTTTTTCAGGAAAGCATCCCCAGGACAGGCTGTGGGATCGCGTCCGCGCGGTCCTGCAGAGCCTCATTAATGGCTTTTCACTAGATGGCACCAGACACCAGCGCTAATGGGCTGGGGGCACCCCCTTCTCCCGGCACCCCGAGGTCCTGGACCCAGCCCGGGGGTGAGCGGAGCATCCTCGGCCGTGAGCTGGGAGGGAGGGAGGGATGGATGGACGGACAGAGCTCAGTGTCAGGCTGAAAGCATTGCATCACCTAGGGAGGGAACAAGGGCTGCTCTGTAAGGTGCAAGTTGTCCCTGGGGTGCTGTGTGCACCCTGCTCAGGCTGGGGCTTGGCCATGGGGGACCGGGGGCTGCTGACCTCCCTCCTCGCCATCCCCACAAAACACAAACCAGAAAGCTCTGGCCTGGCTGCGAAATCACAGCGTCAGCTGGCAGCATCCTCAGCATTGCACAGCTCCAGCCCTGCTGCCTGGGGAGGGGGCTCATGAAGTAGTTTCCACAGTGAGTATGAGCCCACGCAGCTGGGGATGGGGATGTTTTTGCAGGACTCTGGGGCAATGGGTGCTGCATGCACAGCAGAAAGCAGCACTGGGAGTGCAGGCAGCCCTGCGCACAGAAATGCCGTGGTCTGGGTTATTCCATGGGAGTTTGCAACAGAAGCAGATTTTAGACTTTTCTCCTATGGACTTGCTACAGATAAAGCACTCTCAGAAGTCCTTCAGACAGATTTTTCTCCCTCTCAGCTTTGCTGCAGCTGAATCCAAGCCTTGCTCCTTGGTGTTTTCTCCTCTCTTGGAGGTGCAGCCCCAAGCACCATCTTGGCCAGATCCTGGCACCAGCTGGGAGCACAGCAGTGTCCTCTCCACACCTAGCAGCAGCTGAACACCAAAGGATTGCTTAAAAATTAAGCCAGTGCTTGTATGTCTCATAAAAAGTACTAAATAATTGGTGCACAGCCCAGAAAGTCTATTTGGATTGGCTAAATACTCTCCTGGTTACTTAATAAATGACTTTACAAAGAGCTAAATGCAGCCACAGAGTCATTAGGGAAACTGGACAATGATTAACAGATACCCAGTAAGTTAAGTCCAGCTAATGTGACACATGGAGACATGAGAAGGGATGTCTGCCCAGCAAAGGGCACGGAGAGACGCCCACCATGCCCTGGACTGAAAGTAACAGCTCCAGGGGCTGGGGAAGAGCAATAGTGGGGGACTCAGAGCTTGCGTGGAGCATATAGGGCAATGCCTGGGCTTTCATCACTCCTTGCCCTGCCTGGTTGTGAAATCAGGGGCTGCCCCAGCCTGCCCTTCACAGGCGCCTGGGGTGTTTGGCTGAGGGGTGCTTTTCCCTCCCAGGGCATTGCCAGCAGCTATTTCCAGCACAGCTAAGGTTCCTGCCAGCCCCAGAAATCCCAAGGAAAGACTCCCGGGAACCTGTTACACAAGGTAAGGGAGACATTGACCCATTGGTAGGAAATGGAGCAATTTCCCATTGCCCAAGATCACCTAAAGAAAACAGCTTTGCCTGGAGGAGCGGGTACAATCGCCTTATGAGGAAGAAGATGGGAGACCTGAAGGCTGGCGAGATTTTTGCCCTGTGAGCAAGGACTAGAGCCCCTTATCCCTACAGCCATCAAGAGGCAGGGCTCAGTCACACCAGGGATGTTTGGGTGATAACAGGGCTGTACAGAGCTAATGCTCCTACCCTGGTGAGGCCAGCCACTTTCTTCCAGCACCAACCTGCTGCCTGCATGACAGCGGCCACCCAGAGAAGATGCTGGGGCTCAGGTGACCCCCACAGAGCTGGGGAAAGACTCACCCGTGGCTAAGCCAAAGCTGCTTTCCTCGCACTAGCTTACACCACCACTGGGGCAGGAGCAAGGAGGGTTTGGGGCTGGGGCAGGTTTCCACTGGGAAAGCCTCAAGGCATCGTCCCTGGGAAGGCACAGGCAGCCCCGCACTTGTCTGGATCATGCTGTAAGGTTTGGTTGGCAGGTCTATGTGGAAGCAAGGTACAAAGGGAAACCCACATAATGGACCCCCAGATGGGAACTCAGCAAGATCCCCACAATGGTTTCTCCTGGAGAAGCGTACCAGCCCAGGAGAGAGCAGCTCCACCACCTCCAGCCTGCCTGGGGAGTGATGCCCTGGACCATCTCCCTTTGGTCTGTCCCTCAGCCCCAGGTGTGGCTGCAGGGAACAGTTGTGCAATGGAATAGCTGCTTCTTGAGCAACTGAACAATCACGTTTGCATCTTGTGCAAAAGGCTTCCGGAAAACACAATGCAATGGCAGAGGAAAAAGGTACAAACATCTGTACATGCCCAGCCCCATTCTCCACCCCTCATCCTCCCCAAAGGTTTAAATTTCAGCATCGTCCAGCTCCTCACGCTCACACCGCTCAGAGACACGGCAGCATGAAGTCGGTGGCCGCCCTTCTCCTGGTGGGGATGCTCATCCTCTGGACAGAGCTGCCGACAGGTATGGGATGTCCTAGGATAAGGTAGAGGGAGGAAAAGCACAGGGGCTGGGAAGGCCCCCCATGTTTGCAGAGATCCTCTGGGATGGGAAGGGAGAGGAGGGGGGTGTTTGCTGGGGAGCATCACCCCAGGGCCCCTCAGCTGCCAGCAGCCTGGGGCAGATAACTCCCTCCTCTCGCAGGCAGCGCCTGGTCCTGCCCACCCGTCCGCATCACCTGCATGATGGTCAACCCACCAAACAAGTGCAACACTGATCAGGATTGTCCACGGCACACAAAGTGCTGCAGGTCCTACTGTGGGCGGAGATGCATCTCACGTCCATCTTCCATCCCTGTCTTCTACGGTAGGGTCTCTGGAGCTTCCCCCCCACCCCATCTCCCTGGGTAGCAGAGGGGGGATACAGTGACTGTGGCTCTGGGCAGGGAGCTGCATCCAGCTGCCAGAGCCTTCCACTGCCAAGCTGGTGGGGTGACTGATGGCCAGGCACGCAGGCTGGGGTTACTATGAGCACCAGACCTGACCTGCTGCTTTCTCTTCCCCAGTGTGAGCACCTGCTCCCAGGACAGACCGAGGGCCTCCTCAGCATTCCCATGTCACCCTGACACCAGCCAGCTGCCCACACCTCTGCTAAGGCTTGTTCTGCCTGATGCTGGATCCCAGGAGAACGGGGACAGCCACCAGCCCAAGCTCAGAGACCACCTCAGCTCCAGGACCACCTCGCTGACAGCTGCCGCACGGTGCTACGTGTTGCCTGCTCATCCTCTCCCTTCGCTCCTCTGCTGCTGTTATAACAAATAAAAGAGCTTGTCCCAGGGATGCTCGTAATGTGTGACTCCTTTCCCCGCCTCCTCCTGTCCCTTTCCAGGCCCATTCTGGCACCTGCTCCCACTGCTGTTTTCACCCCAGAATTTCTGCCTGGGAAGAGGATGAAAGCAGTCCAGCCACACACCCGGAGTGTGGTTAGGGGCTGACTTGGGGGAGCAAACCCATCCAGAGCAAACCCCAGGAGGAGAGGGCAATGGGAAGGAACTGGAGCAAAACATAATGGGAAGCTTTAGGAGAGTCTCCTGGCAGGCTGTGAGGGGCCCTGGAGAGCAGCATGTTCCCCCAGGCACAGCCTTGGAAGGGGGTGACCCTGCCTGCCCAGGGGGATGCAGAAAGCAGAGCGTCCCTGTGGGCACATCTGGAGGGGGGTTACATAGACCTGAACCCTAAGTGCTGCTGAGCCCCTCGCTGAACCTGAACCAGTGGGGAAAATTCACCTGAGGAAAGTTTCCTGTGAAAGCCTCAAGCCAGAGCACAAAAACATTACTCTAAGGGGTTCTTGAAATTTTTTGTACAACTGAGTGCCAGGGCCAAAAAAATCAGGAAATGCTGAGAAACATCAGTAGGAGATAGCATGTGCAGCCTGATGGACATGCCCAGCCTCTGCCCACAGAGTCACAGAATGTCAGGGGTTGGCAGGGACCTCTGTGGGTCATCTGGTCCAACCCTCCTGCCGAAGCAGGGTCACCTACAGCAGGCAGCACAGGACCTTGTCCAGGCGGGTCTTGAATATCTCCAGAGAAGGAGACTCCACAACCTCCCTGGGCAGCCTGTGCCAGGGCTCCATCACCCTCAGAGGGAAGAGGTTCTTCCTCATGTTCAGCTGGAACTTCCTCTGCTTCAGTTTGTGCCCGTTGCCCCTTGAGCAGGGGCAGAGCATTTCCCAGCCAGCCCTGATGCCCAGCAAACAGTGCCCACCAGCTCCTGCCTGACCCCACCGCTGATGCCAGGCTTGTGTGTTGCATCATGGTATTCTCAGGCAGACCCAGTCCAGGCTGGGAGAGGAGCCTGGTCTGTCTGCATAAACTACAGGGTACAGAGAAGAAAATGAGTGGGTGCTTGGGTGACAGGGGGAAAGGAATATTTGGGTGGCTGGCTGGGAGGAGGCACTTCACCTCCATCTCCTTCAACCTGCAGGCAGACCCCGCAAACAGCCCAGCTCCCAGCCCCTTGCACCTTCCTGCCCGGGAGGAGCATCCTGCAGGCACTGCCTGACAGGTGCCTGGTGCAGGTGCTGCAATCCCCCACAGCAATCAGGAAAGCAGCATGAACCAGCCAGATATTTAAACCACCCACAAATACGGCAGGAGGAAACCTCCGGCTGTGGGATCGACATCGCACATGGCCCGAGGCAGACACCAGAAGCTCCCTGGCCATGGCTGGGGAGAGTCCTTCCATGGTCACCCCCATCGAGGATCTGCAGGGAGGGAGGCAAAGACTCAGAAATTATTCAGTGACAGAAGAAGCCCTATAGCGAAAGGCCACCTCTCTGCTTAGCTCAGCCAAGGGAAGGCAGAGATAAGTGGAGAGCTTATCTCTAATTTATATCTACACGTATCTACTACATTCCCAAGTAGAAACAGGGGTTAATACAATGGTTACAGTATTAGATCACTATGTATGCAAGAATACAAACTGTAATAATAAAAACTACTAACAACTAGACAATATCATTAAAGCTACTTTGTTATAGTTTCACATTTCTTATGATCCCATCTATCCACAGTGCCAGGGGAGGCTGGAAATGCCAGGTGGTCCCACAGGGACAGGCGAAACTAGGGCTGGGAGCTCAGTGTAGTTCAGTGTAATATCAGACATTGCTTCTGACCAGTACAGTGTCCTACTGGGTGGAAAACATCTCCACCCACCTTACACAGACCCACTGCTCTGAGTGGGGAGCACTGTGCCGCACAAGTCACGGGCTGGCAGGGGCAGAGCCCCAGTGCTCCCCCAGACGTCCCCGCACCGATGCGGCGATGAGGGTAGAGAAGCCTGATTACGCATCCCGACTGTCATTAGTCACAGATCACAGCCCTCTCTCCTCCATCAGGACCAGCTATTATCAGCTATTAAGCAGGCATTTCCATACAGCTGGCTAATTTGATAATGCTGCAATTATCTTGGTTTGTTAACAAGATTAAATTGCTAATTGGTTTGATTAAACAGAGCTTCAGGCATGGGGTGCCTCTCAGCTGGTAGCATGCCCAGTGCAGCAGCTCCTCTGAAGGAGACAAGGGCAAGACAGCAGCCTAGGAGGGGTTCATCCTCCTAAAACCTGCTGCCTGGGGCCTCCAGATCTCCATGTGAAGGCCTGGAGAGGTTCCTCCTCCTGCCCAGAGACACCGCCATCTTTGCCCCTGTCACCTAACTGCTGGCCCAGGCAAGCAGGAGATGGCTTTGGCGACATCTGGTCTGTCCCTGTCCTACTTCTTTCCATTTGGGAGCACTGCAAGTCAGAAACCCATAAGGCAATGCACCAACTGTGTACACCCACCTGCAGCTGTGCCAGCAAGTCCTCTGCCCACCTCTCCCCAAGTACAGGTCCCTACCACTGTGCACAGCGTTTCCAGCAACACCCAGCTCACCACTCACCCATACACCCCCACCCATGCAGCCAGCACCCACCTGGAAGGAGCTGGGCAATGCACCAGAACATGCCCAGGGCAGGATCACCAGTTGGAGAAGCTCCTGGCAGCATGCTTTGACTGAAAATCGTTTGGATCTGGGTCTCCAGAGAGGCAGTGAATTCCCCTCTGCATTCTAAGTACATGCCAGCAAGACAGCAGAAAAAGCAGCAAGTCCTGTGCCAGAGATCACAGAATGGCAGGGGTTGGAAGGGACCTCAGTGGGTCATCTGTGCTGGTTCCTCTCACCTTGTCTGCTTCCCCAGGGCTAGAGCTGGCTGGAGATGGAGGGGGTTCTCTGCCTGGGTGCTTACTGCTGCTCAGGATTCGCTGCTGTGGGACCTTCTCCTGGGATGAGCCCACCAGGTCTGCTCCTGGAAACATGGCCAAAAGCTGCATTCAAGGACCCAGCTTTGGGTTAGATATGTCCACCGTAGCAGCAGCACCGCTGCAGGGTAGGAAGCTGTTCAGCTCCATTTGCACACAGCAGGTCTGGCTTACTCTGTATCTTCCCTCAAGACAGGGATTTTTGGGCCAGTCACTCTTGGACCAATCACAGAGGTAACATCCAACACCCCCCAACATCCCAGGGGATGGGATCCAGAGGGGCTCCCCAGGGAGCCATCAGCATCACCAAGGCAGCCTTGCTCCACACTGAAATGCACTTGAGTCCACACTGAGATGGAAACAGGGCAGCAGATGGAGAAGTAAGGTCTCACCCACAGCACACCCCTTGCACACTTGAATATCTTTAATACTTTCTTGGAACCTTCTCCCTCCATATGTTATGCTCTGGCTCAGGAGACCGGATGATCAGGGTCTGAATACAGAGCAGGTCTGGTGCTCAGGAGTGATGCGAGACCTTTTCAAGAGATGATTCAAACCAGCCTAATAAGAATCACTACAGCTTCAAAAACTTTTAAAAAGGGAGAGTTATTTAACTACCATGGCCCAGGAGCGGGAAGCTGTAGTCCCAGCAGGATGCAGCAGTCATGTCAAATCCAGAGGAGAAAATACCCCAGGCTGAGCAGATCCACACGGCAGCAGCTCTGCCCGTGGTCAAGTGCTACGCACAGCCCTCATCTCCTCTGCAGAGAAGCAGCAGCATTTTAGGTGGGAAAAGAAGTCAATACTTCTCTGGTCCCCGCCATCAAAGAAATAGATATACACCTCTGCAGAAAAATAAACCATCCTCACACTGCTGAAGGTCAACAGATGTACAAATGCACTCTGTGCTTTCTTCTCTGGGATGATTCACATAAACCCAGCTCCTCACCTGGACCCCGGGGAGGGGGTGGTCAGGGCCAGAGCTGTCTCACACCAGCTGATACCCTCCAGAATTTTCTTTCTGAAGACACAGGGATGCCTTTTTCCTGCTCAGGAGCCTTGCCATGAACATGCCTTGACTTGCCTGGTCAGGATGCACCACCAATCCTTCCCAGTGCCCTCCACTCTCCCCAAACACAGCAAGGAGGAACGCGCAGCACCAGCTCCCGCTGTGCTGGGAGGGCAGAGGGAACACCACATGCCGGGATTGCATGGCAGAGGGCGGCTGCCTCTGCCACCAGGAAGCCTTTGAAACAGCAGCAT